TAAGTGAAGAAAATGTCTTTTGTACTTTGTGCACAGCATTCGTTTAGTTTTTTCGAAGAAGTTCGCAAAATTCACATATACATACATACATATGCACATGCACTAATATATACATATACACAGAGACACAGTCACACACAGATTCACACATACATACATACATCACCACACATCACACACTAAGTATGTCGATCAGTTCGATGGGGAGTATTTTTCTTCTTGTGACCGGTCACCTTCATAGGTGCTGCAGCATGAGCCTTGACCGTCGGTAATTTAACCTTTATAAATAGCATTTTGGATTATTAAGTTAACACGAGCTCTAAAAGAGGGTTATTTGGCTGAGCTTTCGACGTGTTTGCCTGCTTCAGAGCCGATAAACCGAGTCGATGGTCCACAGTCGTCCATCCTCGCCCTCGATGATCCCTTGTTTATTTTTATTCAACATGACCCATTATAACACCTACTTTTCGGAACACAGCACTTCTTTCGTTCGATTCGTTTTGCTCGCATCCACTGTCCACAGCGGTCTTCGAATATTTGGTGTGTTGTTTCAGCTGCTGCATAACGATTTCTTCTTCTTCATGAATGTCGTAGAATGAGGATCGAGTCAATTTTTCTTATAATCTTGGAGATAGCTGTGCTAAGGCGTTTTCACGTGGACTGGAGGAAAGCGTTGGAGCGGGGGTCAAACTAGAACCTTTGCCTCCTCATCAGCGACATCACTAACCACTGCGCTATCTCCGCCATGACGGCCCTTTTATACCAGTATTGTGCATAGAAAATAAGCAAATTCTTTCGTCATCAAAGAGATTTGGAATGATAAACTGAAGAGTCATTATTGAAATCAACAAGGCTATAAAATTTCTGTAATGGAGTAGCTAAGTTGTATAAGGAACAAACACCTATCACTATCGTTGTAGCGATTATAGCTAAACTTAGAAGAGTCAAGGGCAAGTGGATCACAAGGTGATGAGACGAAAACAGATATAAAACGCTGTTTAAGAAGAGCCGGTCTAGAGAATTCGGTAACGATAACTGAAATGCCACCGAGCAATCTAAGACACCAGCTAGTTCGTAACCGCCTATACGACCGTCTATGTGCAACACAAAATTGCATAATGTTATCCCTTTTTATTTTCTGCCTACTATAATTTCGCGGCAGAGTCGATAGAAATAGCTGAGAGACAGGCGAAACAAAGGACCCGCATGGTGCGGTGGTGAACGCGTTACTCCCCGGAAAGGACAATAGCGCGTTCGTTCCCCACCATAGACACCTGCGGTCCAGAGTTTTGCAAATATCTCAGCAACAAAATTGCATAATTTGCCCCAATGGTAGAGACGGTGACTGCATGAGTTCGGGTACAGTCTATCTGATCTCTTGTAAAGCGTGCGGAGGCGAATACGTTGGCGAAACGGGTAGACCACGCTGCATGCGTATAAAAGAACACCTAGTCGGCAAACGTAAACGAAATACTCCACTAGGTACGCATAGGACGCAGAGACACAACGGAGAAGATTTTGAAATAGGGGTTACGATCCTCGAGCAAGAATCGAGAACACAAGCGTGCAAAACTCTAGAGGCATTTTGGATTAACACCAAGAACACCTCGGGTTTGCTGAACAGAAGTAGAAAGGAAACAGATATGTTCAGAAACGAATGGCAATTCTTATATAAAGATGAACCATTTGAAAGGGTTATGAAATTGATTGGTATAAGAGGATATGAACTGCTAAGGATACAGACTGGCCAGAAGTGCGTTACCAATCAATGACAACCATGGCCTTGAGAAGGTGCTGTGAGTGGGCAGACGATGCAATATCGCGACGTCTTGGAGGTGACTATAACATACCCGACATTGTACGTAAAGTGTAAAAACATTTGATGGTATATATAGATAGAGAGTATTCTCTACCACGTATGGTATGGAATTCCTCAGTTCCTAGTCGCAGTAGACCCGACTGATGACATAGGAGGACTGTGTAGTGTCTGGTCGAAGAGAACACTGTGGGTGGTCGGGGTGATTGAGATGGTCGAGGAACGTCCACTTGTCGACCAGAGGGTGCCCACGGACGATGGACACACATTCGACCGACTTTCGTCGCGCGAACGCGCCACCCGACCGATCGGCGCCCGTCCGTCCACGATTGTGTATCGTTCGAACCATTCAGCAGTAGTCGATCATGTCTTATCTTCGAAAGTTCTGGAAAAAAATGTTTTTCATGTTGTCGTTCAACATATGAGACTCGTTCTATTCCTTTTAAATGTCTTGACTGCACCTTTTTTCTTCTGCGCTCGAAATCTCCAAGCTTGGAATGGCTTATTTTCCGCTTCAATAATTTCGTTCTTCTTGCATGGTACCCAATACTTATTCTTACTTAAGGAAATTACTTACTGATTTTTAGAAGAGCACAGACATGACGGGAGCAGACAGCACAATGGTAGTGATGTCTGTCATCACGAGCATGGTGTTAGTTCGACTCCGCTCCGGGCCAACCAAGCCTCTCACCCCTCCGGGGTCGGGAAATTGGTGCCGGACTTGTCTGGGAAAAAATCACTCTCTGCAATCCATTTGAGAATGCTTCAACTCGGCAATCTCAGGACTCCAAAGAGAATTGCTCGACTAGCATTCTACGACATGCAAGATGAAATGGAAATCCTCAAGGAGCAACTGAAACCACACGTAAAAACTTGGAAGACTTCCGTGGACGATGTGTACGAGGGAACAAATTGAATGTGAGAAATGCTGGGATCCACACAGTAGACGTGAAGATGGGTCAAATAGAATAAAAAAGACGTGACAGAGGACCTGGTAAGGGGATGCATTCAATGTTTCTATGGTATTTTTTAAACGTGGCTCTGTGTAAATCCAGCTACCCTGACGAATTCTTCAATACGTGATCGAACTGGCTGACTAAACCTGACCTTGGTTTCAACAGCCATTTCTTACTCGTAGACAGTGGTTGTCAGCGAAGTCGATATTTCTCTAATTTATCGTGTTCTTCGGTTGTCGGGCCTATTTTACTGCGCTACTGTGACTACTGGCTATATTCAGGCTTTTCACTGACAATCTTCACGATATTCTAGAAACTAAGAAGTTCCAGTACCCGTTAAACATAGTGACATTTGAGTAGATTAATTTATTATAGTATAGAACTCTACAGATTCAAGCAATGATTAATAAGAGATCTGGTGGTCTCCACTGCATCTTCCTTAAAGGTTCATAGTTTGTTTTTTACTCGTTGGTAAAATGATAATATCTTTATTATATATATGAGAGAGTGCGAGACATTTCTTGCACTATTATTTTCATACGTGGCTGAACTAAATAGTAGTATAATCACTTCCTTGGACTCGAATGCCTTGCTGGAGGCCCGAGGTCAGCCTGGCTAAAGTTTACTTCAGGTCGTCACCACCACAGATAGTCGCCGCCCTTGTGGATCAGAAGGAGATTTGCCACCATGCGACTACTTTGATACCAGGACGTTGGTGGATCCTGGTATCGGTTTACTCTTAACTGGGCTTCCTGATGGAAACATCGGACTCCTCAGCTTCGGAAGGTTCGATGTTTCTACCCGGAAACTAAATGAGGAGTAAACCTGCTCCATAGTGCAGCCAACCGAACCACTCGTGGCTATAGATGTCTAGTATGCCGAGGAATTTCAAAAATCTGCCTTTTTCCGTTAATTCATAAGTTTAATATGGCTTTAGCATTTAATAATATGTGTGAATATTAGAGATTCAACAGAAAATAAGAGAAAACTACGTTTAAGAGCTTTTCATGGCATAACGGAACGATTTGTGAATTGAGTTGCTTTACTCAGGTAGGATCCCAGTAAAGACATGCTCTTCTGAAATAGGCTTTATATCAGCGAATATGAAACGAGAATGGGATTTCATCCGCGAACATGTCAGAAAAAAGTAACTTGTCTCTTTTATAGAAATTCCCTTTGGTCAGTAACCTTGCGATTCGTTCGTCATGACAGGAATGTCTAATCAAGCTGAGAAAATCCCACATCCATCTTCCACGTTTTGAAATTTCTTCCCGATTAGATATGTGCTTGGGTGTTCACTCGATATGTTCGTTCACAGTTTATTCCATTTCAGACTTCGACTCGACAATTTCAATCATTTCATGTGTTTTGCTTAAATATGTGATCACCTGATGAAACCTTTCTTTTGTACATTGCTACCTTCTCCATTTGTATCTACATCGTACGCTTGGCTGCGTGTAAAACAATGGTTAGAGGTGCCTTGAAAGACTGATTCGAGCGGACGTCAATAAGCTTTTTATTGGCTCTTGTCTAGTAAGGAAGTAACTGGGTTCTGCTCGCACTAGGAACTCGTTCATCATCATATTCTTCTTTTGAGGCCTTCGTTAGAAACTCTTGTTTTTCTGTTTTACGTTTGACATCCTGAGGAATTCCGTCGCTAACGGCTTACGTCTATCAGTTCTCGTTCATACGCATTACCTGTTAGGCCCTCCTGATTTCGAAGTGTATCGTTGATGTAGTTCGGAAGTTAGGATTTCCTCTCTCACTTGCGTGGTACGGGGTAATCCCAGTTTCCTTCCTCCGAATGCGCGTTCAATAACGTTGAGTGATCTTTCAACCTGCTTACCCAGTAGCCAAGTTTCCGTGCATAAGTTAAGGCAGGGAAGCCGTAGAGTCGAAAAGGTGGGCGCGGGGTCGGGTGTTCGTTGTTCTCTTCACTACTTCCTCGAAGCCCTTGAAAGTTCCCAAGCCGCTCGCTGCTTGCTGAATTCCGATATTGGGATGTGTTAATTCCGTTTAGCGTGAATGGGACGTCAGTAGTAGGCCCAGAGGTTCGGCAGGCCACGTAGTTCTTCCAAGTTTTTCTTATAATTATTACCGGTATTTTTTTGTCACTACAGTTGCTTTGTTATTAGGTCAGTCCTCTTATTTTGCCGTTTGACTCCATCGTCTCTCATTATATTCATGAGCAATACCGTCATAATGAATAAAGTTCCAGTGACCACACTATGATGCTGTCCGTCCTTTTTTGGATGGCATCGGTGCTGTTCGCCTATTTTGTTCTGAAACGACTCTTTCTCGAGCAGTTATACATCGACTATGTCGGCAAGTTCGTGTTCATCACCGGTTGCGATAGCGGCTTTGGTCGACTGCTTGCCATCAGACTACTGAAAATGGGAGTGAATGTGTTTGCCGGATGCTACACTGAAGTGGTAAATTTTCCGACAATTGCTTTTCCTTTTTACTTCTTACCATATTTTCTTTTTTTTTTTTGAAAGCACCTTGTTTCTTTTTTCATTTATGTTTTAGTAGTTGATGCCTTAAGCGCAATGACTCAGGTAGCAATCTAACCTATTAAGAAAAAATATAAGAGTACTGATTATGTAACGACTACTTCTTGAAATAAACCGTACGAACAGCGTAAGATTTGCATTTCAATAGTCCTATCTCTAGCTTTTCGGCTTTCTTAGTTTTGTGATCAAAACACGGTTAGCTTTTCTTTAGGGCTAACCTGCTCGCTGTGTAAAATCGGCAAAGTAAAATAACTTTCTTGTCAATTGAAACAAAGGTCTTTTCTCCATACATTAGTCGATTTTCTCGAAGTTTTAGTGTCTTTGGCTTCTTCTTTCAGTTTGTTTTCAGTCCGGAATGTTTGAATAAAAGCGGAAAAGGAAAGAGAGATTAACATTCTGCGCAGTTATAGCGTGGGCGTAAAATAGCAAGAACGGCTCGCATTGAGGGTGTTTCACTCGACCTGTTGACGCTTAACGATCGTACGGTACTATATTAGTTGGAAAACTTTCGTGGTGTAGATGAGAACCTTAAAAAAGTGGGCAGTCGTGTACGAGTTGTTGCCATCTATGATGACCGCTTAAGGCGCCATCTGAAGGTCCATGGAAATCCGCTTACAACAACGGTTCGGGGGTTTCTGAGAGAAGTAGTAGTAAGTCAAGTGACGGTCGTGGTACTTCCCAACCGAAATGAGAACTGACTAAGTCTCACATGAATTGAATAACAAACCCGAGAGATAGTTGTTATGAAGCCAATGAAGCGTTCTTTTGAAGCAATAAAAAGAAACTGCCACGACCGACTTTCTATTAACCTCGGCATTGATCAAGTGATTTTCTACGTATTTTTGTTGAGCAAACGCGAGGTGTTACTATTCTTTGTTCACGATTAAGCTGACGTTTCGGCGGCCTGGATTTCGCCTTCTTCAGAGCCTGGAAAGGTCAAGTTGACAGCAATCCACTCGGCCAGACGCCTCTGTAACCAAACAAAGAAACTCCAAACCAAGATTTCAATCACTTTAAACACAGCTTTGCACACTCACCGCTTTCTATGAGGTTTCCACTAAGTATGTCACGTAGAGACCAACCGCACAGAAATCACGTGGAAGTATAATGTGCCCCTCACATCAGAAAAGCAGTTTTATATACTGCCCTATATCACGCGTGATAATGAGGCATTCTTCCCTGCGGTTCATTTTCGGATTTCTGAAATTAATCCAGAGTGCCTCGAGAGTTTTTCGCGCCTGTGTTCTTGATTCGCGTGCGAGGATCGTGACACATACTTCGAAGTCGTCCCCGTTATGTCTATGGGTCCTATGCGTGCCTAGCGGGGTATTTGGTCTATTTTTGCCGGCTAAGTGTTCCTTCATGCGGACACAGAGGGGTCTACCCATTTCGCCAATGTATTCGTCACCACACGTCTTACAGGAGATCAGATAAGCTATACCCGAGCTCATGCAATCACCGTCTCTACCACTGGGGCAAATTATGCAATTTTGAGTTGCACATAGACGGTCATATAGGCGGTTACGAACTAGCTGGCGCTTAAGATTACTCGGTGGTATTTCAACTACGCTCACCGAATTCTCTAAGCCCGCCCTTCTTAAGCAGCGTTTTATAGCTGTACTTATATCATTTGAAATGAAGGGTAGGATAAACGAGACCCTTCTATCGCTAGAGTTGTCGTTTGGAGGCCTACGATTTCCTCTACACCTTTTCTGAGCTACAGTTTCGTAGCCATTAGAAATGGCTATTTGACGTGCCAAGTTCCGGGACTCCTCTCTCTGCTCTCTTCCAGTACACACGTTGGTTGCTGCTCGAAACATGTTTCTTATAAGCGCCCTTTTCGCGTGAGAAGGGTGGGAGGAGAGGTAATGAACCAAGATATTTTTACTACTTGGCTTTCGGTACCACTTTGTTATGTAGCCATTTTCTGATAGGTGAATTTGTACGTTCAAAAATGGAAGCCATTTTTCTTTCGGCTTTTCTCGGGTGAACTTGATATACTCTGACTGTGCGTTTAACAATTCGAAGCATTTGTCCACTTCCTCTTGTGTTGAGCAAAGGACAAAGCAGTCGTCTACATACCTACAGTAGAGTAGCGTTTATATTTATTTCTCCTTCGTGTTGTGTAAGGAGTTCGAACATGGCTTGCATTGCGGAGTCATTCGACACGTTTGTATAAAGGGCGGTAACGTCGAAGGACTCCATCACGCACGCGCTGTTGGGCTGCGCAGTACGTATACGATCCAGAAACATCTNATGTAGCCATTTTCTGATAGGTGAATTTGTACGTTCAAAAATGGAAGCCATTTAACACATTCCAGCCCATCTTACGAATACCCAGATGTTTCTGGATCGTATACGTACTGCGCAGCCCAACAGCGCGTGCGTGATGGAGTCCTTCGACGTTACCGCCCTTTATACAAACGTGTCGAATGACTCCGCAATGCAAGCCATGTTCGAACTCCTTACACAACACGAAGGAGAAA